CCAGTGTTAAATGTTCATGAGAATTTAAAGTTTATTGATTTATGATGTTTTCTTACTTTATCGCAATAATTTCTGCATCCAGTAACATTTGTTTATATTTCTTACGCCTGAGTTTCTACTTTGCAGGACAATGAAGGTTGATGTTATTCTTCTATTTTAAGAAGAATAACATTTTTCTGAATGTGATCTTACATTATTATGCTGTTACTTCAAAATAGTCTAAAACCAACAACATTATCGCTTATCATCCTGCAAAGTGTGATTCTGCAACTACATTTTGTTGCTTTTTCTCGCTCCAATATCCGCTGTAAGGTTGTTATTTCTCAGACATTGATCCTTTATTTTGAGTGAATGCTTTGTGGGACGACGTTTGTGGTGTTTCATGAGTTTATTGCCCTCTGCCTCTGCAGATACCCCTCTGGACTGCGAAGTGTCCCCCTGGTCGCCGTGGGGTTTGTGCAAAGGGAAGTGTGGCGACTCAGGTGTGCAGCATCGCACCCGCTACGTCATCATGCACCCGGCCAACAACGGAGCCGCCTGCCCCCTGCTGGACGAGGAGAGGAAGTGCTTCCCGGACAACTGCTTATGACTAGGCCAGGACAGGATGGAGAGGAAGGCCGTGAAGGAGAGGAAGGCCGGGAAGGAGAGGAGAGGAGGAGGAAGGAAGAAAAACCAGGAAAGGAAGGACCGGGCGCAGACGCTCCAAGAATCACAAACGGTCTGCGGTTTAATCCCAGTCCGTTTGTTGATGAACCGGGTCGGATTCAAGTCAGGTTTCAGATCAGGTGTAGTTCTGGCCAACCAGCCAGTAGACACCGCTTCAGTTTTCATGATTGGAACGGCCGACAGGAAGACAAACTGGAAACATTTTACACAAATTTAAACCCTGTTAAATTAGATGTGACCCGAAATAAATCCAGACCGAGCTGCCTGTCGCGTTTTACAGACATTCTGTGTTTCTGTTGTTTATATTTATTGACAGGATTTTAACCTGTTCTGTACAGCGTAACAAATCTGAACGTTAGAAACTGTATTCCTCTACAATAATGAGACAAATCTATCAGTTTTATATGACAGTAAAAATTGTAACAGATGCAGTTACTAAAGTTAATAAAGTGTGAAAGTACCACATGAAATGAGATTTTTATTTTTGTTTATTGTGATTATGATTGATTTGTTGCTGAACAATAAGCTAACTGCTTCTGTTTGTAAAAAATACAAATAAATAATCAAATGGATATAAAGATGTCATGAAACAGAAAAGTTCATGTAATTAGAGTGAAATTCAGTAAAATGACATCAGTAATATTATTTACTGTGCAGTCTGAGTAGAATGGAAAATAGAATATACTTTATTGATCCTTAAGAAGAGAAAACTACGCCAGAAACATTAACAAATACAAATACAACCAAAAGCAATCTAAAAATATTAAAGCTGCAATTTAAATATGATTAAATGTAAACAAATGGCTGAATAAAGAAGTAAAATAAGAAGCGTGCACATGGAAACATGTTCATCTATAATAAATCTAGAAACAAGTGCAGAGAAAAACTAGATTCAAGTCTCTCGGATTTGTGCATCATAAAGTGTATGTGCTGCTAAATACTAATTTGTTACTATAATGAGCTTCAGACATTTGAATGTGTGCTGCAGCTTTTCTATTGGCTCTCAGATCCACCAATCACAGGCAGCGATAAAGACTGGCCACGGCGCAGCAGCTGCAGGTTTCTCAGGCTCAAACCGCCTGTGGGCTGTAAACTCACCACACTGACGCCGTTCTTCAGTCTGAACGGTGAAACTCCGGGTAATTCAGGATGGATTTCCGCCGGGTCGTTTTCCTGCTCCACCTGCCGCTGGCCGCCGCCATGTACTTCGATCTGGGAGAGCAGGAGCAAAAATGCATCATAGAGGAGATTCCTGAGGACACCTTGGTGACAGGTGAGGCACGCACAGCAAACCCCCAAACCAGACTCCTCACCTCTAACAAACAACCTGATCGCTTGAATCACACGTTTTTATCACAAAGAGCTTCAGCTGTTTCTGAATAAATACACAATAACTTCCTTGAAAAGAATAACACGATACAACCCCAGGCTGGCATCTATAGAGAAACACTATTTGGTCATTCACTCGCTTTCAATGAATCGTAACTCAGAGGAGAGGAACTAAAAAGGATTTATGTTTTAGAAAACCACGGACAACCCTGAGCGTTTTAGAAAAACAAAGCATCTTCAGTCAGAGGCTTCTTCAAATTCCCTGTAGTACAGTCTGCTGCAGCAGATCTTTCCTGCCAACAACCATCATCATCTACAATAACTGAGGAATTCATATGATTTACAGCAAAATCTGGGACACAAAAATACTTTTAGGAACTAAAATGATCAAGAATGTGATTTTTTTTCTCTTCTCAACAATAAACAGATTTAATCAGATTTTCTGTAGGAACTGGTTTTCTCAGGATTAAACAGAGTCCAGGTCCGTTTTCGTTTGAAATGAGTTTTGATACAGCGATTAAAAGTACACGTCATTGATCCAGTTACCATGACGACTGGAAGAAACCACATGATCGCTTTGTGTTGAATATGGCATTTCTGATGAACTCGAGCTGCTTTGTGTCTCCCACCTGCAGGAAACTTCTTCCTGGAGCCGTGGGACGTCACATCTTTCAGCCACTCGCCTCACCTGGGCGTCACGGTTACCATCAGAGACCCAAACCAGGAAGTATGCAGGAAATCCTCACTGGTGTCGAAACACAAACAGAACAGCTGCAACCTGATTCTGAACAACCAAACATTTTCAGGGAAAAGTTTCAGTCACAAGGTGTTTCAAAGAAAAGCTACAATAAAGAAGTGATTTAAGTCAGAGGTTCAAAGTGCGGCCTGTGGGCCATTTGTGGCCCTTGGACTGATTCTGTGTGGCCCCCAACTATAAATCAATAATGACACAAATTTGGAGACTTTTCATCTGTAATTGGGGTAAAAACTGTTACCAATATATTTGTTTACGCAGGAAAATGTATAAAGTACAACAGAAAGTATTCATGGTTTCAAAGTTTTAACCAAGTTTATCCAGAGACTTTTACTGCAGCAAAATCAGATTTTATTCTTTCTGAAACTTTGATAAATAAAGTAAATAATTGGAAACAAAATGACACAAATCCTGTTTTCATCACTGACATAAATTTATTCAGTTGAGTCCAAAACTGAATACATTTTTGGGCTCTTCTAATCTCTCTGTATCAGGAGAGGAGATTCTTCTCTGCTCCAGCAATCAGGACCATTGGACAAAAAGAAAAGTAGCAAATTTCTGTCAAAAAAAATCTGAAATTTTTAAAACGATCTCAGAAATATCCTACAAAAAAACTTCAAAACATTTTAATTTGAAATGTTGAAAATGTTTCTAGAAAATTTCTGATACTAATCCTAAAAGTTCAGAGTTTTTTGGTTTAAATTTACTCCTTTTCTTCCATCTACAAAGCCCTGACAGACTGTCATAAAAATCCCTTTTAAGTTTTGGGTCTACTGTAAGCATCAGGATATTTTATGTACTTTATTTCAGGTGGACTGTTGGACTGTGATTACTGCGTTTTGCCCCGCATGGCAAAAAGTTTGGACACTTACGTCTATTTTTCTTCCCTTTCAGGTTCAGTTGTCCAAACGCTACGGAAAATTTGGTAAATTCACCTTCACAGCTCACGGCTCCGGCCAGCACTACCTGTGCTTCCAAACCAACTCCACCAGGTTCTCTGTGTTCGCTGGAGAAAGGCTGGTGAGACCTGTGGAGAAATACAAACAACAATCACAAACCCAACAGAAGAGCAATGCACTCTGGGGTTTTCACCACTTTGTTCCACAGAAGCTGCATTTGGACGTTCAGATGGGAGAGCACTCGGTAGATCCCAAATGGACAGGACCAAAGACAGCCTGCAGATTCTGGAGAGCAATCTGCAACACCTGACCAGCCAGATGACGTACATCACCAGGCAGCAGGAGTACAACCGGGTATATCTACCTGACATTCACCAGGAATGATAAAGAAACACCTAAACTGATCTGGATGTCTGGCTCTTTGTCTTTGTTCAGGAAAAAGAGGAGATTTCCGTCAGATCAGTGAGGAAACCAACAGCAAGGTGTTGTGGTGGGCGGTAATCCAAACCTGCATCCTGCTCTCCGTTGGTTTCTGGCAGATCAAACGACTCAAAGACTTCTTCATTGCCAAAAACTGGTCTGACGTCGCCGTCTCGCCGATCTGTACGGCACCAACATCATGTCAGGACTGGGAAACAAACATGATATCTGACCTGATTCTGCATGGGTAATAAAAAGAGGCCTGGAAAATAAAGGAAGGTTCAACAAATTAAATGTTTTGCTTTTTTATTACGTGCTTCATTTCACAAACTTTTTGCCATGTGGGCCAAAATTGTAAACTCAAAAGTAACCGCAGAACAAAACCCAACAGAAAATCACGTAAATAAAGTATCCTGATGTTTATCATGGATCCAAAACTTAAAGGGGATTTTTACAAGTTTATTGGGGTCTTTGCAGATAGAAAATAATACATTTCTGCACTCATTACTGCGCTTCGGACACCCCTACTTTAGAATTGCTGAGATTAAAAAAGGTTCCTTTCTTAATTTCACCATCTCATACTTGATGTGAGGAAAAGTTAGTGAATTAAGAAGTTGTCCTCCACCTTTAGTATTAAACACACTTTGTCCAAAGCACCAGGATCACTTGAAGGAAAAGAAGCACACAGCATAATGCAGCCACTGCCATGCTTGCCAGCTGGCTTGAAACGCCTGTCATTCAAACTCGTTCTTAAAATGTCTTGAAGTCCTATCACCAGATCAGACCGCCATGAACAAGTTCAAACACAAATAATTAGAACTTATAAGCCCAGAAATAATGTGGTAACAATAATCGATATAGATTAAATTTGTGTTGGTTGCATGCAAACGTCTGAACTGAACTTCAACAGTCCTTTAAATATTCTTTAAGCTTCTGGTTGGATCCTCACTGCTGCGGCTAACGGTGAGCTAACACGTCTCAAATACAGCGAGACCAAATTTAGAATATTTAACAGCGAAACACCGCGAAACATAAAACACACATTCACTGAACACATTTGATCTAATATTAGCTACTCACCAGAAGGTGGAGGGAAAAGCGTTTTCCAATAAGAATGGTGACAGTTTTAATGAGCTAGCTTCTAACGGACTTCTTAATTATGCTAACGATGCTAATTAGCTTCACTGAGGAGGAAGAAGAAAACGACGAACTTCCTGTTGGATGAAACCAAAAACAGGAAGGATGGAGCAGATAAACTGAAGGATCCAGAGGGTTATTTATCACGAACTGATAAAAACCTCACTGGTAATTAGCCTTAAATATATTACTGATAATTATTTTTGTTGTATTATGTTGTTATGTTAGCCAGCCTTATGCTAACTTAGCATTAGCTTCACCTGAAGCAATCTGAACATTATCTGATTATTTTTAAATGTTCTGCTCTCATTAACGGAGCCTGAAACAATAAGTGCCACGACAAGTAAAAGCAATAACAACGAAAATGATTTTTAATGAATTTTATTCAACAGCAGGTCTTCCAATGTCCTACTGGGTCTGCTGCAACTCCTGCTTTCTTTGCCCGAGTCCTGAGCGCAAACTGGCGGTGACGTCCTGCGGCCATGTCATCTGCAGCGGCTGCTACCAGAAAGGTAGAAACGCCTTCTGCACTCACTCTTCGCTTTTCATGACCAACAGTCTGGGCCAAAGTTTGCATCCTCTTTCAGGCTTTGAATGACTGGTGTCAGCAGTATACTGTAATCCTGGCTGCATTAGGATGAAGACAAGTAGTCAGTTTGGTCACAGAGTCAAAGTTTCTGTGAGTTAAATGAAAGTTTCCAGATGCCAGAACAGTTCCCTAGTGAGAAACATGGCAGTGGATGCATCATGGTGAAGCAGATCAATAAATTACATCTGAAAATACAATCAAAAAACACTTTTCCAGACTGGTCTCGGGAGAATCTGATCAAATGGTTCATATATCCATCTTTAACAGTGATTTCCAGCCATTTAACAAAGACACACAGACAACAACACAACATCTTATATATACAGCTTTAAATAAAAACATTCATCTCTTAACACTCTCCTTATTGTTGTCTTCTTTGTTCATCCTAATGAAAAGGCCTGTCACAGTAAAAGGTTGGACGGTAAAGAAGTTAGAAACAATTTATAAACAATAATATTGTTTCACCATGTTCAAGTTTTACAATAGTAATGCCATAATAATGCAAAAACATATTCTCAAAGAACAAAAACTTTAAATTATAACATTTACACTGTAACTGGAAAACATTTTAAATATTCAAAATAAATAAACAAAACAACAAATATAATGAATTATTTAGTCTCTGAAAGCAAAATTATATTCAAAACAGGTTTAGTAGAGACCAAAGCACCAGACTGAAAACTTTATCGTCCAGTTTTTAAAATGCTGGGTATCACAGTGGCGTTGTAAACTAATAAAATTTCAGTATTTTCCCCTGAGAAACAAAAACTATTCCTGCAGATATGAATTTCTCAGATTACCAGTAATTCTGTCTGTTTTTCTTCCCACCATATCTTCAGCTGTTCTTGTGAGTAAGCCAGTTTCAGCCTCTTATCATTATTGTTTTTAAACTCAATCCTTTGTTAAGCTAACTGTAAGAAACAGTTGTTTACATGTGGCCCTCCAGTGGTCCAGGAACCACAGTTTGAGAAACCCTGAATGAGGCTTGTGGTTTCTAGAGAGCGCAGTTCTCTCTACCAGAGGTTTGAAATAAATATGCATCATTTTATCTTCATAAACTGGAGAAAATCCACAGCAAATTAAACTTTTTTATGGTATTATTTTGTCCCTAAACTTTTGCTAAGAAGCCTAAAAAATTCAGTAAAGTCCTGCTGGCCAGAGTCTGAGCGCACAGCGGCATCTACTGGTCACACAGCAGAACTGCAGAAACACATTTCTACTTGAGATCTGTTCTTGTTTTTGTCTTTTCCTTCATAAACAAATCTTATCATTTGTTTATTTAGGAGAAGAAATATTTCATCTTTTCTCATAAAACATCAAAAACAGGAATCACTGATGGAGCTCCTGCTTATTTCAATCTGATGAACCCAAATGATTGATTTTGGTTCTCTGGGTCTTCCTCAGCATCAGATGTGTCCAAAGAGTGGCTCGGGGGCCATTTGTGGCTGTTGGACTGATTCTGTGCCGCCTGATTCAAATTTAGCACCTCTGATGTAAGAGATGAAGAATGAAAACGAGTCATAAATGTTCTCTCTTCCAGGCAGCCATGGCCGCTGTTTGATATGCAGCAGCCAGTGCCAGGTTTCTCCTCTTTCTGACAAAGTAAGATCATTTTATTCCCACACAGATTCGTGTTTCTGCTGTTTTCACCTTCAGGTTTCATGTGTTCATGTTTCCAGAGCAGCTCAGACGTGAAGGCTTTGTTTTCTGACGTCGGCGTTGTGGCAACCAGACATCTGACAGAGATCAGCAAAGTTTGCATAGTTCCACATTTATTACGAACTGTCCGGTGATAACTGTCTCTAGATGTGTTTAATTCAATTATTTCAGGTTATTCTTGCAGATTTCACATTGTTTTCTTCCAGGTTGTGGCGTTCAGGCCCGACATCAGAAGAGGTTGCTCAACTACTACAAGCAAAAGGTGAGAGACTTTGTCACTTTACAGCCAACAGATAGTCGTTAGGTAAATAACCCACTGCTTAATTTCTGAAAAGTGTGGTGTGCATTTGTTTTTAGCCTCTTCCCATCAGCTTTAAACATTTACAGACTTTATTTTTTTCTTGTGATGATCAAAAACTGATAATTCTGCCGTTTTGCTGCGTTTTACAGAATCATAAACTAGAAGACATGTTGGTCACTTTAAAGCAAGAAATGCAGCAGATGGGGAAGTTAGTAAAAACTGCAGCTTCGTGGACCAGATTGAAGTTTTCAGATGTTTAATTTCCTGTTTTGTTTTTAAAGGAAGCTGAATGATCAGAGGACTTACATTGCTAAGCTGGAAAACTCTCTCCAGCACCACAGGTCAGCTGGCTCGTTTAATCCAGAGTTATTATGCAGATTATCAACGTTACTGTCAATCCTGAGGCAGGAGCAAGCAAAGTTAAAATGGCCCAAAATTATACTTTAGCTTATTTATGTTTTCAGCAACAAATAGGTTCTCACAAAGAAAGAAGTGTGATTATATTCTCAGCAGCAAAAAATAAGCAAAGTTTCATGAATGAATGAAAATCAGATTAGGTGCAGGAATCCTGATTTTCAGAATTTAAAAAGATAATCTCTTTATCTTTTATTCTGATAATATTTACTGTAAGAAGATTTTTGTCTTGATTGAAAGTGAAAATTCTCCTGAGCTGCTGGAGCCACAAATCCTGCTAAATATTTAGTCATGTTAATAACATTTTTATGTAGATATTCAGACATATTGTTTCATTTTTTTAAACTCGTTTCCTACAATAAAAATCTAGAAATCTATCCAACTTAGCTGCACATTTTCATGAAGGTGGGTTTGTTTTTAATAACTATGCAGTATTTATTTTATTTTCTGTATATTGGACATTTCTTCTTAATGTTCAGTTTTCTTACTTTTATTAATCCACCTGCTTTCTTCTGTTACTTTTCTACTTTTATACCTGAATATTCCCAAGATGTTTTCATTATTTCTGTTATATTTGCCATCTATTTGATGAAAACTTCTGCTCTGTTCAGTAAAATCTTTATTTCCCTCAGTCTGAAAATATAAATGCAGTGAAATACACTTCACGCTCCACTAGATGGCGCAATTGACTCAGTCACACCTGAACCGTTTCAGTCAACAGGCATCAACAAAAACTGGATCATACAGAAATACTTTCAGCTGCAAATAAAAGCAAAATATCAGGATAGTTTTAAAGTTTTAGACGGTTTTTAAAGTATTTTGCATTTTGCAGTGGAAAGTTTACACCTAAACTGCCTTTTATTGGATTCAAATCAATAATTGTGCGGTTCAATAAAATAAATATTTTGTGTTTCTGCAGTTTAAAAGCTCCGTCTCCAGTCAGCAGCAGTCCTCACGGCCCGCATGGAAGCAAATCAGGTGAACGTTGCTACATAAACACTAACACATTAAAACGTCGTAATAGAAAAATGTGTTTGGACAAAACAAAACAGCATAAAGTTTTAATCATCTTATCCATCACCAACCGGGCAGAACTCTGTGCTTAGAGGAGAAAAACTCAACAACTCGCTTCTTTTCAACGCTTATTAAGAGAAACCGAATTTATTTTCACCTGAAAATGATCAAAATAACCCAAATAAAATACATGCAGTGAAGTTTAAGGAGTGTGGATAGTTTAGCACTTTAATTGGCCTGTTGGGGTTTGAAAACGAACCAAATGCAGGAAGCAACAATAAATACTGAACAAAATATGGCAAGACATAAACGGATATAAATAAATGAGGAAAAGATGGAGAAAACCCAAACATCGTTGTTTTTCTCCACCTCGTTATTTATTATTCTGGCTCCCTCGACGCTGCCTCAACGTTAGCATCCACTAGCATACTGATGCTAATCTTAGCATATGGACGAAGATTAGCATTTTAGCTTTTACGCTATTGTTTCCATACAACACGGACTTTGGGTCAACATGCTAATGTAGCCCTCATTGCTAATGTTAGCTTGATAGATGAACTTAGCATTTTATCCAAATTTGATTTATAAGCTAAACTTAAACTAAATAGATAAAGTCAGTATTAAGCAACATGCTAGTGATAGCTCCCACATTAAGCTAACATTAGCACCTTAACTTTAGCATTTTTCTAAATATAAAACACTTGACCTGACAGACGTAAACTTTATATTTTTAGTGTAAATTATTGACGCTTTAATGCTCAAAACCTCTGATTTTAATCTGTTTAATCTATTTTCTGTCTGATTTTTTGTTTGCATCTAGTGCTTCAGATTCCATACGAGTCTCCCGTGTTCCTCCCATGTCACGCTTCAGCAACCAACATGTGAGTGTTTCTGTCTCCATGTCTGACAGAAAACCTCATGTTTCATGTCTGATAGTTAGAACTGGTGTTTCATTAGTGTCAGTACAATAAGAATCATTTCTACACATGTGAAACAAAAGGTGGTAACTTTCAGCGTGAACAGCGTTCTGCTTCGCTCCACTGATCAGCTTTGAGTTTCAGGGTTTCTCACTTTGAGCAGAATAAAAGTTGCTTTTGCTGAGAGCTTGTGGTTAAAGGAAGCGGTGATGGCGGCGGTGATGGCGGCGGTGATGGCGGCGGCGGCGTGGCGTTCAGCCGCTGAACTAATGAAGTGTGCCTTCCTGTGTGGCAGCAGCCAAAGCCTGGAGCTGGATGGAAGGAGTCTGTTCAGGAAAGTGGGTGTCTTTACTTTATGTCCTAGTTAAAGTCCATCTCCTCGGGCAGGGTGTCCAAACTTTATGACATGTGGGGGGAAAAAATCAATCAGGCTAAAAAACCAACCTAAAATAGAGCAAATAAATTATCCTGATATTTTCTGTAAATCCAGAACTTCATGATAGCAGAAGGAGGAAATTTCCATCAAAAATTCAGACATTTTGTGATTCATCTCAGAAATTTTATAAAAAACTTTACATTTTCAAAAGAAAACCTTCAACATTTGAAAACTCTCGGATTTCAATGTTTTTTCTAGAAAATTTCTGATATTAATTTAAATTTTGGATTTTTTTTTCAACAAATTTCCTTGTTTTTCTGGAAAGTTTATGAGATTATGCTCAAAATTTCTCTTTTTTTTTGGCGGAAATGTGCTACTTTTCCTTTCCTGCCCTGAGATGCTGCAGCAGATTTTGCTGTATTAAAAGAAAAACATCTGGTTTCCAGTTTCCAGATGTTCAGTGATAAAAACAAGATTTGTGTGATTTTGTTTCCAAATATTTGCTATTTATCAAAGTTTAAGAAAGAATAAAAGCTGATATTGTTGCAGAAGTTGTGTTTTCAGTAAAAGTCTCTGGAAAAACTTTGTTTTGTTAAAATGTGGTTATAAAACCATGAGTACTTTCTGTTGTACTTTACATTTTCCTATGTAAAGAAATATGTTGGTAACAATTTTTCCAGATTACAAATTAAAAGTCTCCATCTGCAGCTGCGGGCCAAATTTGCACCAGTTTTGAATCGCGGTTGGGGGCCACACAGAATCAGTCTGAGGGCCACAGATGGCCCCTGAGCCGCTCTTTGGACACCGCTGCCTTAGCTTTATAACGATTGTGTGACTCTGCTTCAGCCCATTTCTGCGCCCAGACTGTCGGTGATGAAGGCGCTGCCAGAGGGACGATCAGGTGAGTCCAACACGCCGAACAGCTGAACGCGATCTGGGTCAGACCCAACACAACACCGCTGAGTCAGCACTTCTGCAAAATTCAGTTTAGTGGAGGGATTTTTAGGTTTTAACGCCTCTCTTCCTAAAAACACTGACATTAATTTCCAACTACTAAATTAACACCATCGTTCCTTCATGATGTCTCAGACAGCTGAAGAATCAATGTGTTGTTTTTCTCCATGAACTGTGGATTTCTCTGGTGTTTCGTTCAGAACTGGCCACCCACAGGTCCTACAGCCAGAACCCACTGACCTCCCACTCTGCTCACTCAGCCACCGTCAGGTGAAACGCTTTACCCTCATCTCCACCGTTATCACTTCAGATAATTACAAAATATATCCTGATGTTTAAGGTCGGACTATTGAAACCTGCTTTTTGAGCCTTATAAGACGTTTCAGCAGATAAACCGATATTTTTCTGAAGCATGTTGCATCTTGTATGTGGTATTAATTCTTTGTGCTTCTGAAAAATGAGGAATTGGTTGTAAATTCAGAGTAACAGGATGGTTCCTGTTGTTTTCCAGCCGTTTTTCTCCCTCCACTCCAGAGTCGTACGGTCAGAGTTCAGCCTGGAAGTCGCCCCAACTCAAAGCTTTGTCCTCCTTCAGGCGCTCTGCGTCCTTCCTGGGGTTTCCCCCTCCTTAACGCTGCTGCTTGGAGGACTGATGAGGCACATGAAGGTGTTAAATGTGCAGCTTCAACAGGCAATGAGAGACAAACTGCTCTTTTCTGTCAAACTGTAAATGAAATAAATTGGTGAACGAGTTCAGCGTGTTTGAGTCAAATGGCTGCAGCAGCTCTTTTGTTTCTGCTTTTCAACTTTAAATCTGCAATCTAAACATTCATCCATCGGCAGGAAGTGAAGATGAACACACTGAGACAGTTAGCGTTAGCTTCTGCTGATTATTTTACGTGCTGATCAGACTAGCATTAGCATTTTCAAGAAAAGTTATGTTTAGCGTTAGCCTCCAATAAAATAGTGGTTTAGTGTTAGCTTCAGCAAATATTTTTGTTTTTACTTATTGTTATTTTCTGAATTTTTTAATGTCTAGCAGTTTAGCATTAGCTCCTGATCATATTTTAGTGTTAGCAGCACTAATGTTCTTGTTTAGCAAACTAGAGTTAGTGAAGCTAAGCTTTGAGTTAGCTGTGCTCACCACTGGCAGTAACTGATCTTAGTCCAAACATTTAATCTGTATGAAAGCCACAGCAGCCATTTGTAAAATGTTCCCCAGGAAAAGGAAACGTTTGATTTGTGCAGGGTGTGAAGGATCATCACATGACCAACAGCCACGTGGCCGTCATGAAAAATGTCAAAATGATCAGGAAATATGATTTCTGAGACCAATTATGTCCCATCTGACACCAGAAGTATTCATCGATGATAAATATTGGTCAATTTAATGCAAAGAAACATTTTCCTTGATGGCCACGGCCGCCATCTTGAATTGTTCGGTGACTTTTAAACTGATTTGTGGCCCTGGGAGTTTTTTACTTCTGAAAACTCTTTAAATTAAGCAGCAGCTTTTGCTTCATGTTTGTGGGATGTTTGGGTTTGGAACCGTTTCATCTGCAAACTGAGCTGGAATTGATGCTGCAGTAACTGACATCCCTCATCCTGTCTGGAGGGATCCGTCTGAGGCGTCAGCCGCAGTCCAGGCGTCCCGGATGCGTTTCGCCAACTTGTCATTTCACCTCAAAGCTGTTACAAACAGCTGCAGGTGAAGACAAAGGGAGGCATCCACTCAGAAACCGGATATCACCTGAAGTCACGGCGGCTCGGAAAGCCTCGGCGGCCCGATGTGTTCGGGCAGGTCGGTTCCTCCTGGTCGGTTCCTCCTGAGCGGCCCGCCGCGGTCGGCGCCATTGTCCCGCTGTCAGGCTGCTGAATGACGCCTATTGAAGGCGGCTCAGGTGCGGCTGTGTGTGTTCTGGAGCGGCGCACGCAACGTTCAGCCTGTTGCTGCTCTCAGGTGGGGAGGGCTGGTGCTGATCCTCCTCCAGTGACGTCTGAACCCGGTTCCTGACTGAAGGGACAGGCGGCTGAGCCTCAGATCTGCTTTCCACTGAACAGCAAAACATTGAAATTACTACAATAAAGTCATTTTATGGACACTGTAATTTGAAAAAATTATTTTTCAACAAAACGTTTTGGCTTATTTTGCAAAACTACAATTGAAGTTTTGCAAATTAATTTCCATTGTTATTTGCTTCACACAAATTATGTGATTAACTACAGGAAGTTACTACTGTTAGAAACCACAAAGAGACGGCCGGAAGTGGATAGAGGAAGACGGTGCAGCATGTTTTTAATGACGTAATGCCTGAACAAATGTGATTTTAGTTGCATTTCTTATTTCACACTGCAATTGTGGAATTGTGTTTTTTCAACATTAGCTGAATATTGACAAAGTTTTGCTCACATTTGTAAAAGATAAAAACTCACTGCTAATGTGCCACAAAGAGTGCAGATGTTAAAATCAGCGTAATCTTTTCCTCATGTTGGTAATAAAGAATAACAGGTTTTAAACTTTCTCTCCTGCCTCACATGCGTCGCTGCAGGCCGTACAAATGAGCTCTGCTACTTCAGAGAGCTAAAGCAAACTGCTCTGATGTCAGCCGTAATTATTCAGCAGCGTGTTCCCACAGACTGTCCTCTGCTGTTCGCCTCTGTGTGTGTGTGTGTGTGTGTGTGTGTGTGTGTGTGTGTGTGTGTGTGTGTGTGTGTGTGTGTGTGTGTGTGTGTGTGTGTGTGTGTGTGTGTGTGCGAGGGGAGAAAGAAGCCTCCCTTTTAATCTCATCCAGACTTCACACTTTGTCGCTCTGCGTTCAGCCTCGTACCTCTGGAGGTGTAATCCCCTCCGGCAGGACATGACACGAACTAAATGATTTCACACTGGAGCTATTTGTCTGTTAGCGGCTGCAGCCTGAGCCGACGGCGTCATTTGGGATCTTCATCACGTATGCAGTTTAACACAAAGTGATGATGATGTTTAAACTTCAGATTTACTTCATAATGTTGGTTTAAAGTAAACCATTAAAATAATGTCAATTCTTTCCAGTTGAGTTCAAAGTGATTTCAGTTTCAATCTATCGGTGAGCGAAAGATCCTCCTGATCTGCTCCAGTCTTCTTAAAGGGCCAGTATCATGTAAAATGAACTTTGTTTTCAGCCTTCCATCATGTTCTAAAGTTTTTTCCTCATTTTGCTGGTGGCCCTAGCCCCGCCTTCCCGGCGCAGCTCCTCCCCACTCAGCTCCTTCAGACTAGCCAGCAGCAGGCTCAACATTTTCCATTGCAAGAAAATTGTTTCGAAAATAATTTTACTCTGATTACAAATAAAAGCCTCAATCTGCAAACATTTAATCTCAACATTAATCTCACATTTTCCAACCTTGCAGAACAAAACAGTTAAATCTCTTTCTGCATGTTCCAACACGTCGTTTCAAAATGGAGGCTGATGGTCGAATCTTTCTGTTTTTTTAAATAGATTTCGAATGAAATGCGAATGAGAATCTTCTAATGTGAATTGATTTTGGCTCATCAGGAAAATTAGTGACACATTTCTACTGTTGCAGTTAAACGACAACAGCTGAATACATTGAAACGCTAATTTCCACTGCAGAAACACAAAACCCTCCTGAGTATTTTGGTCCGATTTCTAGTGCAAGTATCTTAGTACAGTTTAAGACAAAACCTACAGAGAAATAACTTTTCATCTAAGCTTCATTTTCTACATCCAATAACCAGAAACAACTTGAGGAAAAGGGAAATGTTTGTTTACTTCTTATTGTTGACAGAACAAACAGATTATTTTGTTGATATATTTAAAGATAACGGAGCTTCAACCTGAGCTTTTCTTTTTCTTTCCAGTCATTTCAAGCTGGGACTCTGTGTTCCCATTTATCCTCTGGCAGAATGATTTCTATGTGAAAAGAGCAAATAAAGTAATTAGCTCTAGCAGAAACACTTTGTGTTCACACTTAACAAGTCCAAGTCAAAGTAATAAAACTATTGACTGCAACAAGAGGATGCAGCTGCAGTTTAATTTGACTTTAACTGCAGCGCTTCTGTGAAGACTCAGAGAACAAACAGCAACTCCATGAAACTCGGTGATGGCAGCATCATGCTGTGGTGACCATGATGTTCGAAGTATCAACAATCATCTTCAAGGGAAAGCATGTTGCCTGAAGGCTGACTCCCTCAGGAAGCAAACATCACTGCAAAATCTCAAATTAGCCAAAATGCTAACGTTAGCCTGGAAAAACCAGCATGTCCAGTTATATTGACTTCATTCATTGAGTAGCTTAAACTCAATGATCATCATTGTTTATTAGAGACCTCAGTTTTGGCCAATGAGGCAAAAAGTCTGGACTCCCAGTGTTGAACAGCCTAAAAATTTAATTATATTGTTTAGAGACCAAACTTTAAATTCTGATGAGCCTTTAACTGGATGGCATTTTCAACACTAGAACGTTTCTTAAACACTTTAAACGCTGCCTGCTGCCAAAGTGTACATTTATTTGATAATGAACATGATCCAACATGGCCGCCAACATGGCCGCCACTTCCTCCCACCCAGAGCCAAAGCTGGCGGCGGATCGGAGGCTGAGAGGCGGGAGGCTGGATGGAGGCCGCTGGAGGCTGGAGGCCGCTGGAGGCGGCGCTTCCTTCCGCTCAGCCGCGTCTCTTTGTTCCTCCTCATCCCGCTGGAAGCCGCAGCTCCGCTTTGAGTTTTTGTCTCGGAGGTTTTAATGGTGGAGAGGAATGTAAACACAGCAGCAGGTGTGTCTGCTGTCTGAGCGCATGGGCGTGTGTGTCAGTGTGTGTGTGTCAGTGTGTGTGTGTCAGTGTGTGTAAGTGTGTGTGTCAGTGTGCGTGTGTGTCAGTGTGTGTGTGTGTCAGTGTGTGTGTGTGTGTGTCAGTGTGTGTAAGTGTGTGTGTCAGTGTGTGTATGTGTGTGTCAGTGTGTGTAGTGTGTGTGTGTCAGTGTGTGTGTGTGTGTCAGTGTGCGTGTGTGTCAGTGTGTGTGTGTGTGTCAGTGTGTGTGTGTGTGTGTCAGTGTGTGTGTCAGTGTGTGTGTGTGTCAGTGTGTGTGTGTGTCAGTGTGTGTGTGTGTGTGTGTCAGTGTGTGTGTGTGTCAGTGTGTGTGTGTGTGTGTCAGTGTGTGTGTGTGTCTTTCATGGTCATTGACTCATTTCACCTGGATTCTCCTTTAAAAGGTTCTCTCATGCAGCTGCTGTTGACTCAGACGTGCAGGAATCCAGACACGTAAATATCGATTTGTGCTTTGAAATTGATCAATGCTTTCAATACTTCAGTAATGTGACAAAACGCATCTTAAGAGAGGAGTTCAATTATTAAGATATTTCCTGAAAGAGACGTTTTTGTGGGAACTACTTTTTCTGCTTAAATGAGTTACAAAATAATTCGCCTCATAAAAACACGTTCATTAAAAAAAGTCACGTTTTGTGCCGTGATGACGCATTTCCTTCTGCTGCGATAAAAACCTTTTCAGCGTCATGGAGTCACGTGATCAAAAACGTGGTGAAAATGACGAAGACAACAGAAGGAAGCGGTATTTTAATGATTTTTTTATGATTATTATTATTTTGGAAACAAACTTTTCTTTATTTTAAAACCCAAAAATAGAAATAGATACTGATCAGAAATTAATTCTGCTGATATCCGGGGTTCTGGTCGGTTTTATTCAGCCAGAAGTTTCAGAATCCTGGTCCACAGGGAGAACCTGAAGGCAGCAGCAGA